AGCAAAATCATCTCTTGCTTCTCAACACTCTGTTTCCTTTTCCTTGAAGATCGCTGAAGAATTCCAGGCAGGAGATGTAGTGATCCCAGAGCCAGAAGCACGGAAATTGGAAAAAGCCATCGAGGATATCCTGGTGGCCATGGGCTTGGGAGAGGACAGCAACGGAGCGCCTGCGCTGAGGAAATAGCTGTTTGGACCCGCAGCCTGGGAATTTACAGCGTGGCCACCTGCTCACACCCAGGACGGGAGATCAGGAGCCTCCAAAACTTGATGGCAGTTAAGATGCACCATGGATCCAGGGGAAGACAAAGCACAAGAGACTCTATAACAAGGTCGATAACAACGGAAACTGTCCAGAGGGTACCCATGCTGTTGGCAGTTCATTGCACAAAGTAGGTGCTTGAGGCCTGCTCTCCCCAAGACAATGTTTTTATGTCTATGTCCCCACAATAAAAAAAAAAAATTTTTAATGTATCTTATTGTGATTCCAAAAAGTTTGTCAATTTAATTGTAAGTAAAAGTAATTACTAGACTTCATGAACTGTGGCTCCATTTTTATTTAAAATATATATATATATATATATATATATATATATATGCATAGAAAAATCTGATGTGGGAAGGGATGTGAGAGAAAAAGGTTTTTTTTCTAAATGCATTTTCTATAATAACTACACACTTTCAGGTAATAATGTACAATTCTTCTGGTTTGTGTTTCCTAAATACATATACTACTATTTAATACAAACATATATTTTCCTCCGTTTAAAACTTTTTCACAAAATATCCTGTAAATGCTGACATGAAAATAAATCAAAAATTTTTTTAAAGTCACTGAATAAAATAGTCCAAAGTAAGTTTCTTGAGTGAAATCTCAAGAGCAGCCAGTTGGACACTGAGGAAGACATAATGGCTCATGGTGCACAGCGTGGGGAGGTAAAAGCCATTTGCTCCCCCCTCTCCTCCATTGCTCAGCCACGTGTTTCTGTAAGTGAGTCCTTCCTGGGGACCTGGAGAAAGGCCTGGGAGGGGGCACAGGACAGGAGCCCTAAGAGTGTTCCCCTTCCCTGGAGCCCTCCCAGTCTGTCCCAGTCACCCCAGCACCAGGGCCTGGCCCTCCATGTCTGTGCTTTGGGCATGGCCTTCCCACTCTCCATTCTTCCCAAGCCCAGCTTTGCCCCTCCTGAGACAGTGAGCACCTCTGCCTGTGAGCCCTGCCTTCCCTCCCCTCCCCTCCTTTGCTGCAGAATAAACAGGAGCCACAAGAGAGATGGCTGTTCTCAGCCATCCTGGGATTTTAACCAAGCATAGAACTGAGTCACACTCGGGGTCAATACACTGTGGTGGGTGGAGGAAATCCTGTAAGGGGTTTGCCTTCCCCCAGTTTCACTGAGGTATGACCTGTGCTGGGACAAGTGAGGGTCAATTAACTGAGCCTTGACACTCACCGGGAGGCCCACAGAGGTCCACGCTGCTGGGAGTTTATGGCTCAGAGCAGCTTCCTGAGGCCGGCTCTGACCAAGGCCTTCACTTGGTGCCACCCTGTCCTGACTCGATAGGACGTGCATCCCAGTTTTAAATGGAAATAAAGGCCTAAAGGCCATGGCGAATTCCTTTGCCTCTAGAATGAAGAAAGGCATAGAAGAGCAGAGTGGGAGAAGGGCATGAAAATGACTGAACTGCACAATCAGGAAGGGAGATGCCACTTCACCATGGCAATGACTATGAGTGTGGCATCAAGGCTTGGCTTTTTGTGTTTCTCCTCCTAGCATGTTGGCAAAAAGTATCTTGCTTTGCAACACTCTACTTCCTTTTCCTTAAAGACCAAGGAAAAATTCGGGAGGATGGTAAATGGCTTTTAAACGCAGGAACCCGGAAGGGGCAGGTGCTCCGAGGACCCCGCTTGGCTGTGGATTGGAGAGGGAAAGGCCCTGTGACTCCCATGAAGAACCAGGCATGCCGGCGTCCAGCAGATCTCTCCCAGAGCAAAGCCAGCGTGAACCCGTGGCCTTTTGGGTAGACTATGTATCAACATGCAGTCTTCTATTTTTAAAGGAGATTTCAGATAGAGGGGCTCCTGTCAGTCTTGCTATTTGTTTTATAGAATGAGCGCTTTTGAATTTTGTCTTCAGGGTCAGCATGGTTCTTGTTGGGCTTTTAGGGCAACTGGTACCCTTGAAGGACAGATGTTCCAGAAAACTGAATGAGTTTTCTTAAACATCTGGTGGACTGCTCTCGTGCTCAGGGCAATGAGGGCTGCAGGGTGGCCTCATGGATAATGCCTTTGAGTACATCAAGGACAACCAAGGCCTGGACACAGAGGAATCCCACCCATATCTCCCATAGGTAAAAGGGGCTTGTTATTCTGTTATTGTTCCAGCTCTACTTTAGAAATTCAGCACTTTAGGGAACAATCTATTTCTGCAAACTCTATTAGCTTTGTGCAGTTCTCAGTTGATATGGCTAAGGTAGTTTTTCTATTACCACGTTACATGGAGATGTACTTACCATTCTTTACCGCATATCTCTCCATGTATCTCATGAGCAGATACATGTAGTGCCTTACTGAGTAGACACACCAGCTTGTGTGTGTGTGTTTTTTTTAATTTCAAAACAACTAATTGCATGTCTCCTCAAACTTTTTAAATTTAAATTCTTTATTGTCTAAACTTTAAACTCTAAAGTATTACATATGTCTTCTTTCCCCCCATTGACCTCTCCCAGCTGCTCCCATCCCTCAGTACATGCCCTCACCCTGCTACTGTCTCTGTCCATTGGTTTTGCTTATGAATACAAGTCCATTGGTCTCTTACAATTCCACTTTGCCTCTGAGGTTTGATGGTTTGTTCAATGCTTCTATGTCTCTGGACCTATTTTTGTTCATCAGTTTATGTTAATTATATTCCACATATGAGTGAGATCATGTGATATTTGTCTTTCTTTGACGGCTTATTTTGCTTAGCATAATGCTCTCCAGTTCCATCCATGCTGTTGCAAATGGTAAGAGTTCTTTCTTTTTTACAGCAGCATAGTATTCCATTGTGTAAAAGTACCACCGTTTTTTAATCCACTCATCTGCTGATGGGCTCTTAGGCTGTTTCCAAATCTTAGCTATTGTAAATGGTGCTGCTATGAACATAGGGGTGCATATATCCTTTCTTATTGGTGTTTCTGATTTCTTGGGATATATTCCTAGAAGTGGGGTGACTGGGTCAAATGAGTTTCATCTTTAATTGTTTGAGGAAATCCTACACTCTTTTCCACTTTATAACAAACTGGACTTGAAAACTATTAATCTGCAAACTGTCTTGACCTCCTGTTATCAGGGAAGTGAGTGGTAGTAATCAAGATCTTCCCCTTTAACTTTGAAAGAATGGAATCTGCAGATGTAGGCCTGAGAATTCTACTGCCAATGACCCTGACTCCATTAATATTCGTAACCAAGAGAGGCTCTTTATGGAGGAAATGGCAGCTGTGGGCTCCTCTGTCGCGATGGAGGCAGGTCGGTGTCGCTTTCAGTTCTACAAGAAGGTAAGCATTTGCCTTTGTGTAAATTGAGGCAGAGTAACAGAGAAACATTGATGACATAAGACAGGATCGCCTCTTTCTTCAGTGTGCAGACTTCAGTGTGAATTCCTCGGTGTGTGGATTTAACACAGCTGTTCATTCTGTACATGTAATGTCTGTACCTGATGTTTCTATGTGATATAACTTGACCCTTAGCTCCATGTTAAGAACTTCATAAATATGTTTATAATAAATGGCTCTATGATTTGATTGGTATAGGAATACTTTACTTTTTGTCTAATTGTTAGACCTTTCAAATTTACCAAATAATTTTACTCTGTAATTAAATTAAAAAGACCCCTTGGATCTGGTCATTTGTGTTCTGTGCTGTTTCCTTAGAAGAGTAGAATGATAGTGTTTCAACTAGTGGTCTGTTATGCCTCTTAATAAGTTGATTAAAAAAAGATGTATTTCTGATATGTTACAAAAGGGCTTAAATCTCTAACCTAAGAAAAAAGATTTTGGTTTTATTTTTTATATTTAAATCTTTATTGTTGGGAGTGTTACAGATGTGCCCTCTTTCCTCCCTATTGCCTCTTCCAACCGGTTCCTACCCCACCCTGGTTCTTCACCACCTTATTGTCTGTGTTCACAAAGAATGCTTATGGGCATAAACATTCTTTGATTAATCTCTTCCCATCCCCTCACCCATTCCCTCTGAGATTCCTCACTCTGTTCCAGGTTTCCAGGCCTCTGGTTCTAATTTATTCATCAGTTTATTTTGTTCACTAGATTCCTTGTTTGTTTTGATTTTTAGAATCAACTGTTGATAAATATGTATTTATTGCCCTTTTTTTTTTTTATTGTTGTTCATTGGTCAACACTCAACCACTGAGCCATGCTAGCCAGGCCCCTAATTTTCTTGATGTTAAGGAGTTTTCAAATCTAACACCCACTTATTTTCCCAACCTTATTTCCCATTCTTCCCCTTTGTTCATTGTTCACTTCAGCTGACCTGGCTTGGTAATTTTTTCCTGTTGGGAGAGTTGTTCATGTGCTGCAACTGATCTGTTTCCTCCCTTCCGCTGCCTCCGTACCACCTGCCCCAAATTCCCCCGCTGGCAGCCGTCTCTTTTGAATGCCCATAACCATCTGTAGCTCTCTTCCTTATAGCACTTCTCATTTCCACCTACTTCCGGTGTAAATATACTTCACTCTCCATTTCCTAGAGGGCTCTTAAGGATCTGTTTTAATCACTCCCGGGGCATCCTGAGGTTCACGTCTGATTGTCTTGAAAACGGTATTTCTGATAATGTGGCACCGATCCCCCTGCACCGTGGAGACCCCAAGGAGGCCAGGCTGAGCTGGGCTCTTCCGTGTTCAATGAGCAGGTGGACACCTGCATTTGAGTCCATGCTCCAGCAGCTCTGCTTCCCAGAGAGCAGGATTCAGTGAACCAAAGATGAATTTTAGGAATACACCAATCTCTTTGCTTATATATTCTCAGATTTATTACAGTTTTAAGTCAAAGATACCAAATATTTATTTTCTTTTTTCATTTGTTTTGTTTTTCTCCTTTTTGTTGTATCAATATTTGTTGGGGTGACACTGGTTAACAAAATGACACAGATTTCGGGTGCACAGTTCAACAACACATCATCAATACACTGTATTGTGTGTTTACCACCTCGAGTCAAGTCTTCATCCATCACCATTTATCCCTCCTCTACTTTCTGATAGGCAGGGGAAGAACAAAAGGTAGCAAGAGCTTTCTTCTGACTTGTACAATAATAATGCTGTAATTGAAAAAGAAAGAATAAATCTATACAAAGAAAAAAATGATGAATGACTCCATTTGTAGCCTTAGATATGGGATGGAGCATGTAAAGAAAAGGTTAAGTCTTTCTACCTGTACTAGAGGTCTGATGCATTGATTTTGTGCACTCATTGTGGGGAGGGGGGATCCCTCACCCTAGCCTGTGCCTTTTGCAGTCCAGGGGTCCTTGGGGGATGTTCAACGGATGGCTTAATGCTTCCATAGAGGCAGGAGAGGCTCCCACCACTGACACTGTGCTAGCCAGCCATCAGCCCGACTTCTGGCTGAGCAGTACTCCTTCTGTGGGAGCACACTGACCACCAGGGGGCAGCTCCTGTATTGCTCATCTTCCCCCTGGTGGTCAGTCCGCATCATAGCTACTGGTTGTTCTACTGTTTGGTTGATTTGCATATTACTTTTTTATTATATAGGATTACTGTCAGAATCTGACCATAATAACATGTGAGCATGGTTGGTATCTGTTATCATATCACCCTGAGGGTTGCATTAGAACAGTACATTCATGCTTAAAATTTAGTCCTGCAGTAAACTTCAGATTCATTCTGCTTTAAGTCTCAGTGAGATTAAAATACGATATATTAGTGCTAATACTTGGAGTTATGTTTTCAGACCTAAAAGGCAAAGTGAGCTAAAATTGCTCTTTAGTTGATAGTTCATCTTGTGGACAACACCCTTAATTTCTCTTTCTCTCTCTCTCTCTCTCTCTCTCTCTCTCCCTCTCTCTCTCTCTCTCTCTCTCTTTTCTCTCAAACATGGAATCCTCCGAGAAAAGCTCCCATTGTGCTGTGCAGCTGTTGGGATGGGTAATAACGTAGAGTTTGGAGTGGCCACCTGTTCAGTTCAGCCTCTTGGTAGTGATCATCATTTTATTGTAATTTTCTTTGTATCATAGAAGCTAGAACCAGATTAGGGAAAGTTAAGACACACAGCTGCAGGTACACACACACACACACACACACACGCACACACACACACACACCACTCTCTCCAGAGCCTTTGAGTCTCTGGAAGCACTGAGCAATGAAGAGCTGGGGGAGAGCTTTACCATTAGAATCAGTGGTTCCAATACCAGTTCTGCCACATTCAAAGAGTTACTCTGTCTTTTAAATGATCAGTCTCCTCATTTGCAAAGTTGGGGAAATAATGGTATTTAACTCGAAGGGAGGTTAGGGGAATAAAATGAGATGTATAAAACAAGTGCTCAGAAAATGAGAGTTGTTATTGGACAGAGGTGTGAGGAATATTTTAACTCAAAAGATGAACCATACAATTCAGCAGACCAACAAATTACTTTAGGACAGAATTATATTACATCAGTGTTGACTCATTATAAAAAAACATTATTTCCTCAAGTTTGGAGACCAAAATGTTTCAAAACAACTATTCCACATTTTCAGTGAGAAGAAATTCTTTAGCACTTCTTAATTCTCCTCTTCGATTTTATTGAGGACAGATGTTTTTCAGTGAGCACCTTTCCATTTTTCTCTCGGTACTGTTTTTACGTTTTCCCAACTTTCTTTTGGGGCTATGGGTCAGTTTTACAATGAAATCAAAATATTTCCTTAGTTTAAAAAGAAAATATCCTCAGGTTAGTCTTCTCTATATATATTTTTTGTAAAACCTTTTAGATAAAGGGTTTCAAAATCTCTAAAGACAGTAATTGGATGTAACTCTGTTACTGCTAATGAAGGGGAGGGTAGAGTACTTGGTTAGGATGACAGAATTTTAGAGTTTTCTCTGGTTTTTCAGAAAGCTGAAGTCTCTAATCAGCCCAACTTGATTGACAAGGAAGCATATTAGAGGGAATAATGCTAAGTTATTAGATTTTACTAAGTCTGCTCCTTTAGCTCCAATTTGGGTGAATTTTCTGCCGAAAATTGCCCTTTTAGACTGTGTTTGCCCTGTTATAGACTGAATGTTTGTATACCTCCAAATTTCATATGTTGAAGCTCTTATCTCACAGTGTGCCTCTGTGGAGATGGGAGCTCTAAGGAAGTAATTAAGGTTTAATGACATTGTAAGGGTGGGGCCCTAATCTGATAAGATTAGTGCCCTTCTAAGAAAAGACACCAAAGAGTTAGTTCTTTCTCTCTCTGTGCCTGCCCTAAAGAAAAGGCCACAGCAGAAGGAAAGAGCACTTACCAGAAAAATGAATTGGCTTGAACCTTGACCTTGGGCTTCTAGCCTCCATAACTAGAAGAAAATAAGTTTCTGATGTTTGAGCCACTTAAGTCTACATTTTATTATTGCTGCAGGCACAAAATATGTGCCCTGAAACAACTTCAGAAATGAAAATGAGCAGATAAACTAGAGGACACACAAATCAAAGTGATGACCTGCTAACTACACTGCCTGCTGCCTGCTTATCTGCTCCCCAACAGGGCCGAGACCACGCTGGCTCCCCAGCCCTCCATGTTCCCCGCAGATCACTGCGGTGGCTGTAAAAACAGGAGAACCTGAAGGTCAGCCAGGCTTTGGGAAGCTAATGTCTGAGATTTGCTCTGTTCTCAATTGCCCAAAACGTTAGCCACACACAAAGCTTAGCTGGTGGCTTTCCTTGGAAGTCGCTCACATATATGAGACTAGAGGCCCAACGCACAGATTTGTGCACATTGAAAGGAAATTAATTAGAAAGTGGCTTGTGGGGCGGGACTGGGCAAGATGGGCCAGACACACCCTGAAACTAACCCCCCACAGCCCCTCCCTAGCCAGCTGGCCGGCCGCACCTGGGACAGTGCCAGGGCTCTAAGGGTGTCTGCAGAGTGAGTGGAGTGTCCCTCCAGCAGGTGAGGTGCCTCAGCCTAGCCTGCGAGGATTGGGCTGAAACCCACAGTCCGACATCCCCAAGGGGTCCCGGAGTGGGATAGGGCACTCTGCAAAGCTGCAGTCACTTGGCAGCTCCTGAGTTGAGTGTCTGCCCCCTGGTGGTCAGTGCATGTCATACCTACAGGCTAGTCTGCCAGTTGACTGGTTGCTTAGCCATAGAGATAGATAGATAGATAGATAGATAGATAGATAGATAGATAGATAGATAGATAGATAGTAGATAGATAGATAGATAATCTCTACACTTGATGGGGCTAGCATTCCAATGGGGCTGGCATTCTGACGGGCTCCCATGTCTGTCCTACATGCTGCTGTGAGCTGGACATTCAGCCCTGGCTGCTGAGCAGGCAGCCAACGGCTCTCTCCATTGCTTGGGCTCCCTCAGCTTGCACACTGGCTCTGAGAGGAACATCCAGAGGCTCAGTGTGCCAGAAATCCCAGGAGGGGCCCAAGGCCCCTATGACCTGGCCTTAACCCCAGGAGCACCTCTGCTGCTGCACTGAATTTGGAGGACACCCCAGGGCCCAAGAGAAGGGACTGACGGTCTACCTCGTAATGTCAATCAACTTTGACCAAAACTGTAAGGCAAAGAAAGCTTTACTTGGGGCTCATTTTTTAAGAATTACAGTGAGACACAGAATTAGATAGAAGCCAAACTGTGTTTCCAGGGGGAAAGAAATTGACAGAGTTTAAAAAGACAGAAAGGGAGGGGAGGTTGAAAAGGGATTTCACAAGTTGCATTGAAAAAGCAGTGATTGGTGCTGGCCAGCCTACTCACACATGCTACGTATGATTAATTGCTTATGTTTATTGCTGGATTTAAAAAATGTCTTTTTGAATAGAGAGCTCAGTGGTACAGAGCTGGCCACAGAAGCTGTCCCAGTATGTAGCCATTGGGTTTAGAAAAGCTGTTCCAGCCGAAACCGGTTTGGCTCAGTGGATAGAGCATCAGTCTGCGGGCTGAAGGGTTCTGGGTTTGAGTCCGGTCAAAGGCATGTACATTGGTTGCGGGCACATCCCCAGTCGGGGGTGTGCGGGAGGCATCTGGTCAATGTTTCTCTCTCATCGATGTTTCTGGCTCTCTATCCCTCTCCCTTCCTCTCTGTAAAAAAATCAATAAATATATATTTTTTTAAAAAGAGAGAGAGAGAAAGAGAAAGAAAAGCCATTTCATAAGGAGCCGGTGCATTCGCTCAGCTTTCCAGAGGCCTCCTGGCTCCAGTTCACGTTGCTCTCTGAATGGTGTCACCTTTATTTTTCTGCTTTTCTCTCACATTTCCTCTTTCCACCAGGATATTTTCTTAGAAATCATTGATGATCAATTATCAGGAAATATGGATGGATATTGCAATCCATCATTGAAACAGCGACATTGATCTCTTGATGCCAGGAATGTTTATTCCCAGTATGTTTGTCGCATGTGGGAGGGAAAGCAGTGTCCTGAGGGTGCAGTAAGAGAGCATATGGCCCCGTTTTCCCAATAGGATGCCAGTAGAAAGCACCCTCCATGACACATGTTCCTCAGATCAAAGTTCCTTGGTAGAGGTGGTCTCACGGGATTTATTTGTTGTAACATGTCTAGGCATTGTGCCGCCATTACTCTAGCAGTGGCTGTTAGTCATTGCTCAGTGAATCTGTCAAGGGACCTAATTAAGGGGGCCAATCATAATCATGAAAATCAATATCATTGATGCTTGTAATATAGAATAAAGCTAGGTCCCTATTCTTACCATCAGCCAGCTACATCAATCTGTCCAACACAACCTATAGGGTAATGTTCTGTCTGTTCAAGGATTTAAACGTTTTGTTTCAGAACTTCAAGCTGTTGCACCACTTTACCTGATTTTTAACAAAGAAGCAATGTCCCATGGGGCAAAGGACTGCCTCGCTTGGCAACCAGCACATTACAGGCCTGTGGTTTAGGACTATTTCAGCCAGAATGCCCATTATTTCTTGCTGTTCTGATAGAGCAGTTGCAGTAGAATTCCATGGTTGTGCCGCCAGAAGGATTTCTGGTAGACTTTTCTATTTCAGCTATTCAATGCCAAGGAAAGAAAGCTCTAGTGAGGGCATATCGAAGGCCTTGCTGATATATTATAGGGCTTGGAGAGGAGAGAGGCCTGAAGAGGCCATGCCCCAAATCTCAATTTTTGAGGGGTCCATTTTGGTTGCAGCTTACAGACAAAAGAGCCTCGATTGGGGATAATGGCAGAGGAAGAAGATTCTTTCTGATTTCGGCATCAGATACTAACATAACAATATCATAGCTGCCTCACCATCAGGTTGGCAAGGCGATACTAACATATGTGGGTTCCACATAGAAAGAAACACCCAGTGCCCTCAAGTGAGAGTGGATAATGGGGCTGAGGTAACTAATCATGTTTGGGTATCCTTTTTAAATGATCATCATGAGTGCCTGAGTGAATACCCTGAAGTGTAGCAACAGGAGGATTAGTAAGTAATACCTGATTTTGGCCCTCTTGATTAAAACTGAAGTGCAGCCTTATGAGGATAGTGTTTCCAATAGACATAATGTAGATGCTGGGGTTGGAGATCCTAATGTAGATCTTAGTCTACAGGTAGCACACTGTGGAAAGATTGCACCATCAGCTGAGAGTTGGAGTTAAGAAGCCCTGTAAGTGCTTTACAGTAAATCAGGAGGTTTCCTTTCGGCAATGCAGGTGTACACATTCCTTGATCTAATCTCATGGGTCTGCTGGTCTGTAATCATTTCTAAATGAGGCCATCGGTCTTTGCCTAAAGGAGCAGACCTTGGGTTGAACAATGCCAAGAGAAATGCCTCAGAGCAAGGCAGATTAGAAGACTCACATGTTCTTCCAACTGAGTTTTAATTGTCCTCATAGTCATTCCGCAGGAGCAGAGGACTGGGGAGGATAAGCACAGTGGAAAGGCTGCAGAATCGGCAGATCTTGCAGATTATACAACGTGTCCAGAGAAAGGAGTTGGTGCCTATGGGGCTCCGACAAGGTTCCCAGAGTGGGAAGTTCATTTGTGGGAGTTTTTTACTTACTGCTGAGGCTGTGCCGCTGTGGCCTGGGGATGCTTCCACCCAACAAGAAAACGAGTCATTACTAACACATACCTGTATTCTGAATATGGGATTGACTAAATAAGGTCCTTGTGTCAGTTCTCAAAGGGTCCTAAAGGCAAGAGAAAACTCCCCCATGGAAGTATGAATGAGCTTCCAGACTTGTGCTTTGGGCAGACTTAGCATTTGTGGTATACCTGGGTTCTATCTCTAGCGATGTCTCCCAGCACTATTGCTTTCCCCATAAAACGATGTTGTCAGTGTCCCAGTGAGTTAAGTGATGTACATATGTGGTGTTGTATGCAATCGGAAGGAGTGTACAGTTGTTTGGACCTACTATAAGACTCTTTTGGGGTAAAATTTGAGCCATGTTTCAAGCATGTTTTTCTTTCTATTTTATAGAACAAAAGGTTGTGCTTCCATAATGTTATCTTTGAAATCTGCAAGTGCTTCAGCCAATAGCTCCGGTGCTTTGTTGGGGTCCTAGGTTGTTTTAATGCTGCTAACTTAACAGCAATGCCACCAAATGATTACCTCTAGTTTTATTGGTGTATGTCATTGAATGTCCAGGGATTTCTATGATTGCTAAAGACTTAGGCAATTGGACAGCCTCTAAGAGTTTTAAAACATAAAAGTTGTCATCTATCTTTTGTCCAGAAGAAGTCAAGATGTCTCTGTCTGCAGAGCATACAGAAGTCAGGGGCAGCACCAAAGGTGCAACCTGCTGTCAGTATAAATGGTCACCATTCTACCGTGGGCCAACTGCAAGCTCAGGTGGACGCAGAGAGCTCAATTTGTTGAACAGAAGTTGCCTAAGGCATTACACTGGCCTTGGTGGTTTTATTCATACAGACAATTGCCAGCTAGATTGGGGCCTGCTTCACCATGAGCAAACCAAACTAATTCAACATTTTAAGAGGTATTTTCCATAAATCAATCTGAAGAGTAAGTAGTCAGTCTGTTAAAGTTAGGGAGTCATGAGGGGGTATTGTCCAAAGGCAGAGGAAGGAGAGTAGTGACACAGTGAGTAAGAGTCATGTTGGATGAAGACAATAAAAGAACTCTGAAGGCAGAGAGTCGCTGAGTATGATGGGAGTGAGGTAGGGCTGCCACTGAATGAGGCACATGAGGAGTCCGTGGAGCCCATGAGTACTTCTGAACATACTGCAGTGCTTTGGTGATGGCCACCATAGCTCTCACTCAGGGAAAGAGGCTTTGATAACCAAACCTAATTGTTGACTATACTACCCAATGGGCCTGTATTGGCTTCCATGTTGTCGGATCAAGACACCTGAAGCATTCCCTTCCCTTTCATAGACAAAGAAGAAGGGTAGTTGATAACTACAAGGTTCTTCTCCCCCAAGCACAGGTAAAGCTGACAGAGGTACAGATCCTTGGCTCGTATTTTTGGATACTGAGCAGAAATGCCCTGGTGAAACCCTGTAGTCATTCTTGTGTTTAGGAACTCTTAAGAATGGCACAGAGCTCATCTTCAGTCCACAGGCTGTAAGAAATGAGGGCTGTTTCCTGGGCCTGATCCGACATCTGACAGGGTAACTTTACATGGGGCAGTAAGAGCAGGGGTTCCAACGGAGCCATCAGAATAAAAAGGGAGCTTAGTGACTGCAGGGCAAAGAAGGGGACAGGCAGGCCACTCAGGAGCAGAAGTGGCAGATAATGAGAGGTCGGGAGGATACTTACAAGTTTCCTCAGGTTTAGTCAGCCTCTGAGAGAGCAGAGAATTTGCTTCATTTTGTTTAGAATTTGTGATTGGGGGAAAGAAAATTCTGAGCCACTTACACTTTGGGGGTCTCAAATGCCAATTAAAATTGGTGATTAATACCAAACCTACTAGCTTTTGGTGGAATTCAGCTCTACTTCAAGAAAAACTACTCTATGTCACATACAGAGGCTCTTTCAAAGCTTACTGTGTTAGGTTTCAGTCACCAGAACATGAAAAAAGTATGTCTAATGCAGAAACCAGTCCTTAGAAATAGGATATTATTTAAAAAAAAGTCCATAAAATGGGCAATGGGCAGTGCTGTAATACGGTAAGTGGCAGTAAGAAAAGTTCTGTTCTTACTAAGCTAAGAATTTGAAAGTATTTGTTACAGGATGGTTGACCTATCACCCATTGTACCTGGGATATAGAAAACTGCTAACCAGGCTGGAAATCTAGGAAACTGCGGAGAAAATGTAGAACGTAGGGATGGATTGATGACTCCTACAGCCTTTGCTGAGCTCCAGTATGTAAATTACTTCTTTTACAGAGAATTCTCTGCATACTAGCACACCTGGAAATGGAGGAAAGGGAAGAAAAAGTGGTATGAAAGACCCTTTCTGAATTGGAGTAATTGAAGATGTCTTAGATTCTGTCCATCTTTTTACTTGCAGATTTTGAGATACTAAATTCCCTGCCCCTAGCTAAAGGGGGAATTGAGAATAAGGTAGGACAAGAGATAAGATAAGGATAAGAAACCAGAGCTTTTGTTTTGTTGTTTTACCTGGGGCTTTTAAAATATGAATTAAATTATTTTTTTTCTTTTTCTTTTTTTCTTCTTTTTTTTACTTTTTAAACTCTTCATCCATTTATTTCACTTACCACCAGAATCTGGCAACCAGCCACCAATCTGTTCTTATATCTATTAGCTTGTTTTCTGTTTGTTATGTTTTGATTTATTTTGTATTGAATATTCATGTATTAGATTAACCATATGGTATTTGATTTTCTTGGTCAAACTTATTTCACTTTGAGTAATAGTATCAAGGGCCATCCATGCTGTAGAACAGTGTTTCCCAAACTTCTCTCATGATGAGAATCACCTGGTGGAGTTGTTAAAATACATATTCCTGAATCCCAACTAAGAAGTACTAAACTAGAATTTTGGGGAACATATAGGTAAAATTGTGCCACTAGTGCCACTAAGTTAAGTATACAATTTTACCTATATGTTCCCAAAAATTCTAGTTTAGCACTTCTTAGTTGGGATTCAGGAATCTATATTTTAACAACTCCACCAGGTGATTCTCATCATGAGAGAAGTTTGGGAAACACTGCTGTAGAAAATTGCAAAATTTTATTGTTTTTAATGCCTGAGCAGTGTGTGTGTGTGTGTGTGTGTGTGTTATGGGATAGTCAAGTTATGGTAACAACTTAATTGTCCATAAATCAATGCATGGGTAAAGAAATTTTTTCTTTTCTTTTATTTTAAATATATATTTTATTTATTTATTTTTTACAGAGAGGAAGAGAGAGGGATAGAGAGTTAGAAACATCAATGAGAGAGAAACATCAATCAGCTGCCTCTTGCACACCCCCTACTGTGAATGTGCCCAGAACCAAGGTACATGCCCCTGACCGGAATGGAACCTGGGACCTTTCAGTCCCCAGGCTAATGCTCTATCCACTGAGCCACAACTGGTTTCAGCAAGAAACTTTTTCTTATGCAAAACACTAATTTGAAAAGATCTGTGGACTTCTATCTTTATTGTCGAATTATTTACAATATTCAAGATATGGAAGTAACCCAAATGTCCATCGTCAGACTAGTCAATAAGAAAGATATTATTAGAGAGAGACCATATGGTATATAATTTTCCTGGTCAAACTTTTTTCACTTACAACAATACCACCAAGGTCCATCTATGTTGCAATATTTCATTTTTCTAATGGTTAGCATTATCACATTGTGTGTGTGCATGTATGTGTGTGTGTGTTATGGGGTAATCAAGCTATGGTAACAACCTAAATGTTCATGAATGAATGAATCAATCAATCAATCAACTGTTTCTTATTCAAAATACATATTTAAAAGGTATATGGACCTCTATTTTCATTGCTTCACTATTTGCAATAGCCAAGATATGGAAGAAACCCAATATCATCAATAGACAATGATAAAGAAGATATGATATCTATACAATAGGCATAATCCAACACCAGTGAAGTACTTAAAGACAACAGTAGTCACTTCCGTGTTACTAGGCCTTTGGATTAAATGTTATTTAATCAAGCACATGTCCACTTTCAAGTGAGAAATTCTAGGTATGGCTGGCTCTGTCATCACCTGTGTTGCCTCACTTAATTTTTAACCCAAACTTATGAGATTGTTGGTATTCACCACATTTATGGTGAATAAAACCAAGGTTTGGAGAAGATAGATCATTAGCCCCAAATTTATATCTGTGAGAGATGATGTTGGATTTATCTGCATTTGGGTGATAAAACCATGAAATCAGAAGTTAAAAAATAATAAAATGTTTCAATTTTGTCTCATTTTTCCATACCCTATTTTAAGGCAGACAAGGCAATAACATACAATGGTTTTTAAATAGAAGCTTTTTCATTGCTTCTCCTATCCAAAATGAAAAGCAAAAGTCTAAATCAGAAGTGTTGACCTAAAAATAAAAATCCAAACCCGTGGAGAATTTTTATAAAAGTTTATTTGAACCAGCTGACAACATGTGCTGGGGAGCAAGATCTCACGTGCTCCAGAAAATAAAAGTTGTGCGGCTTCTTCTATGAGTTTGAAATTGAAAATGGGATGTAAGGGAGAGTACATGAAGGTGCAGAAAGCAAGATGGCAATGTGACTGCAGGATGGTTAACAAGATCATGTGCTCTCCTGAGGGTGGTTAGCGCTTATCACAAAGATGTGTTCATCTAGATGCAGGGCTTGCTTGAGTCAAAGATAAACCTTTTAATGAAAGTTAGGTACCTGGGATGTGACTACCCACCATGACCTGTCCACTTAGGAATGTATGATCAGATCACCCAGTTAAGGGGTTACTTTACAAAGAACCCCTTTTTCATGAACAGAAAGTTCAGCCAAGTATTAATTCTTTTCCCATTTCATTAGCTGGGCAGAGCCATCAAACTATCCATGCTGAGGTGGCAGTTCTCCGTGGCCCTCGCTGAAGGGTTTTGTGCCTGTGGGGTGTGACTCCTACATCTTCAGGGTGCTCAGCAGTGGTGAGCACAGCAGTAGTTTACCATCTCACTTTACCACGCTGGCACTCTTCGAAATCACCTGGGGAGACGTTTGACTAACACGTATATTTGCCACATGCTTGTCTTTACTACTTCTCCACAAATTGTTCCTCTTTCTCTTGCATTTCCCTGGAGATCTATCTTGGGAGAAGAACAGACAATTGTTAATCAACCTGCTGGACTACAGCAATGTTATGAAGCATCATAGAGGGTCTAATATATTCCCCTCTCTATGTTTTAAACAGAGATATGGTTCTCATATGAGAAAGTTCACCAGATAAGCATATATCAATACAATCCACTAGTTTTGTTATATTCACAGAAAGTGGAACGATGGTGGCCAGAGGCTAGTGGGAGGGAGACATGGAGAACTGTGTTAAATGGGTGCATATTTTCAGACACAAGAATTCAAATGCGAGTGTACCTAATGCCACTGAACTGTACACTTAAAATGGCTTAAGTGGTAATTTTATGTTATGTTTATTTTACCATTATTTTTTTAATATATTTTATTGGTTTTTTACAGAGAGTAAGGAAGAGGAAAAGAAAGTTAGAAACATCAATCAGCTGCCTCCTGCACACCTCCTACTGGGGATGTGCCCACAACCAAGATACATGCCCTTGACTGGAATCGAACCTGGGACCTTTCAGTCCGCAGGCCAACACTCTATCCACTGAGCCAAACTGGTCAGGGTCTTAGCATAATTTTAAAAGAAAACATGCCCAAGAGATAAAATGCAATAGCTGAGTGGGCAAAAGTATTTTCAAATCATATATCTCATAAATGAATAATATCTAGAATATATAAAGAACCCTAATAACTCAACAATAAAAGGACAAATAACCCAATTTTTAAATGGGTAAATTATTTGAATACCTATTTTCCCAAAGAATGTATTCACAGATGCATAAGTACTTGTAAAGATATAAACATCATCATTCATCAGAGAAATGCAAATCCAATCCAAAATGAGACACCACTTCTAACTATTAGCAGGGACATAATTTAAAAGTGGACAGTGGGATGTATTACAAAGGATGTGCAGGTATCAAGACCCTCACAACGTGCGGAGGGGGTGTGAAATAGGAGCCACTGTGGGAAGTGGTCTGGCATTTCCTCAAACCCAAAGGGGATGCCATTCCTTGAGGAACACCTGCCACACAGCCTCCTGTGAGGCAACTGCCTGAGGGCAGGGCCCCTGCAGGAGCAGGTGAACTATCTTATGGATCTGAGACCCCAGGGGAACTGTAAAGCTACAAATCAGAAGTCTACTTACATCCCGTGATCACTGATTGGGATAAAATGCGTGGTGTACTCAAAAAATACAGCTCCAGTGATTTAGAATACAATGTAATTTTTAATCACCTAAGATATTCAGGTTCCAGTGTTTGAGAGAGGAGAGCTTCTTATATTCTCAATGATATTATAATAAAATTCAAATGAACTGATTTTTAAAAATTGTATGGGGTTGCCAAGATTATTCAATAGAGGTAGGATGATCTTTTCAGCAAATGATGTTTGAAAATCAAATATCCGTATGCAAAAGAAAAAAAATTCGACCTTTACCTTAAACCTATGCAAAAATAAACAAAAATGGATCAAAGACCAAAGCATGAACACTAAAATTATAAACCTTAAAATGAAAACACAAAGGAAGAACCTCATAATATTAAATGTATATGTAATTTTGCAAAAAAAAAAATACATTAAAAGAATAGGCAGCCAAAAAAACTAAATGTTTTATATAATCAAATAAAAATTTTTAAATATCCATCTAATGTCACTGTTGACATAATAAAATGGAAACTCAGAGGATTTGGGAAAATTCTTGCAAATCATATCAGATTGGAAACCTGTTGCAATGCTGTTAAGAATTTAAAATTGTGCAGCCCCTGTGGTAATCATGGAAGAAAATAAGCCCTGAATTTTCAATCCTGGCCAGTTTTGCTCAGTGGATAGAGCATAGGCATGTGGACTGAAAGGTCCCAGGTTCAATTCTGGTCAAGGGCATCTACCTTGGTTGCAGGCACATCCCCAGTAGAGGGTGTGCAGGAGGCAGCTGATTGATATTTCTCTCTCATCTATGTTTCTAATTCTCTATTTCTCTCCCATCCTCTCTGTAAAAAATAATATACACACACACACACACACACACACACACACACACACACCGTATTTTCCGGTGTATAAGACGACCCCCTAATTTTACAGTCAAAACATAGGTTTAGGCCTATATTCGCTGTATAAGACTACCCCCCACTTCAAAGAAAAGACTTACTTTGCCATCAAGATCTGCAGGTAATTTTTGTGCAGTTTTGGTGTTTTGCCTCCGATTTTCGATTGACTTTTTTTCATTTCAAAAGTTGTCTTATACGCCGGAAAAAAGGGGTGTGTGTGTGTATGTGTGTGTGTATGTGTGTGTGTGTTAAGCATAGAATTTCAGACCCAGCAATTTATCCCACTTCTGGATTTGTACCCAAAGACTTGGAAGGAGGAACTCAATCATTTGTGCAACTATGAGGACAGCAGCATTATTCAAAATAGCCTAATGTGGGTGTAAGCCATATGTCCATCCAGGGATGACTAGAGAAACAAACATAACACATTTACTCACAAAATATTATTCACTTTTAAAAAATGAAAATTCTGACATGTGCTAAAATATGGATGATCATTGAGGATATCATGTGAAGTGAAATAGCCAGGTACAAAAGAAAATACTACATGATTTCACTAATGTGATATGCGTAGAATAGTCAAATTCATAGAGACAGAGAGTAAAACATTTCTATGTTATTGCCAGGCACTGGGGGAGGGAGGAATGCAGAGTTACTGCTTAAAGGGGACAGAGCCTGACTTTGGGGGGAGGAACAGGTTCTGAACGGAGGGTGGTGAGAGCTGAGGACAATCTGCACGAGCTTCATGCCACTGAACTGTGCCCTTAACAATGGTGGCAATCAGTAGTTTTATGTTATATCTACATCGCCAAAGTAAAAATCAAAATTATATGTGTCATCATGGTTCTAGAAAGTTTGTAAATCTAATTGTAAGTAAAAAATAGGTACTAGTCTTCATGAACTGTGACTCCATCTTTATTTTAAAAAATGAAAATATGCATAGAAAACACTGATGTGAGAAGGCATTTGAGATAAGAATAAAATTGTCTGACAGGTATTTTCTATAAAGAATACAAAGAAACATACAACATTTGTGGTTTGTGTTCCCTAAATACTTAACAATAGAAATTAATATGTAATATAGATATATACTTTCTCCATTTAAAACATTTTTACCAAATGTCATTAAAATGCTAACATTAAGTGTAAATCAAAGTAATACTTCATTGAATAAAAGTCTAAAGTAAGTTTCTTGAGTGAAATCTCAAGAGCAGCTGGTGGACACTGAGGAAGACATAATGGCTCATGGTGCACAGCGTGGGGAGGTAAAAGCCATTTGCTCCCCCCTCTCCTCCATTGCTCAGCCACGTGTCCTTCCTGGGGACCTGGAGAAAGGCCTGGGAGGGGGCACAGGACAGGAGCCCTAGGAGTGTCCCCCTTCCCTGGAGCCCTCCCAGTCTGTCCCAGTCACCCCAGCACCAGGGCCTGGCCCTCCATGTCTGTGCTTTGGGCATGGCCATCCCACCCTCCATTCTTCCCAAGCTCAGCTGTGCCCCTCCTGAGACAGTGAGCACCTCTGCCTGTGAGCCCTGCCTTCCCCCACTGCTCCTGTTTTGCTGCAGAATAAACAGGAGCCATCAGACAGTTCTCAGTCCTGCTAAGGTTTTACCCAAAACCCCTAGAACTGAGAGGCAAGGCAGGGTTATGCTGAAATACCACTTGGGGTTCCCTGTAAGCTCTTGTTCCTGAACCCCTTGCCCAGGGCCTGAACAGCAGGTAATGGATTAACATGGGTCCAGTCCCTCCCTGAAATGCTTATCAGTGTTTTTCTGGTTCTACCTTCATAGTTACCCCCAGGTGCCACAAAAGCAGATAGGATCTGCCCAGATACCAATTAAGACCACGTGAGCTTTGTCCCTTACCTGGAGACACAGAATTTGGCGGCCCCACCCAAGGCTATCCTAGCCAATGAGGCATGGGTAAGAGATGGGGGTGGGGCTGGCCAGGCTGCTCAGGATCCTTAAAGGGGAGGCCTTGGGGCCACAGCCATGCATCAGAGACCCTTGGACTTGCCACTCCTGACTGCACCTTCTTAGCTGCGTCCACTACAGGTGAGTGCTTCTGCCAGGCCAGGCTGGGCTAGGCCACCCCAGGAACCAACCTGTCCACCACCTTGGGGGGCAGGATCCTAGGCCCCCAGTGAGAAAGATCCTCTTCCATTGCTGGGCAGGACACAGCAGCCTGACCACAGCCCATCCGCTATTGGGCCTGTGCTGCCTGACTGTTTCAGCATCTGGGGAAGAGGCAGGAGTGTGGGTGGGCAGGGAGCAGGGCTGTGTTCCCTCAGGTCCTTCCTGCTTTCCTGCCCCTTGTCCCTGGCCAGTGATCTGAACTTCAGAAGAGCTGGGCCCTGTCAGGAGGCAGGAACTGGTGTGTGTGTGTGTGGGGGGGGGGGGGGTGTCTCTGGGCTCCATCATGCCAGGTGAGCACTTCCCTGGTTGGGGAAGGAGTAGAGGGATGGGTGGTCCAGGCCAGGTTGGGGAGCTGAGCCCTGGCTGTCCTCCTGCCCACCTTCCCCTGGCTGGGCCTGTAGGAGACATTCCAGTTCTAGGAGAGGCGGTTGGAAGGCACATCTCACCCTGCCATGCAGTAGTCAGGGAGGAAGTGGGAAGTGGCCACCTTACTCCTGGGACCTCTGTCCCTACCTGGGGTCAGGAGTCCTCCTTAGGGAGGCTCTCCTGGGTCACCTGGGCACTGTTGCTCAATCCCTGGAACAGCCTTTTGCTTGGTTCCTCTTTGGAGCCTCAAAATCCTGACCCATAAGCCACCCTCCAACCTTCTCCCAACCTAAATGATCTTTGCACATCATGTTTCCAACCTGGAGTCATTCTCTGCTGTTTTTCCTTCAGTGACTGAATCACATACCTCCATCTGGACTGATTTCTCCACACAAATCCTCATCCTTCCTCCACAGGCCTTGGATAAATAAGTTCTTGGGAGAGAGAACTCAATCTTTTTGTCCCACCTTCTCTCTTCAGAAGAAGGTAAAATGGGTTTTTAGAAGGATCGCTCTCATCAGACTCAATTATTTTTTTTCTCCTTAGGTGTTTGAACCATGAGAGCTTCAATCTTCCTGGTAGTTCTTTGCTTGGGAATAGTCTTCGCTGTTCCAGCAGTTGATCAGCGTGTCCATGCAGAACCAAATGAATTGATTGGATTGCCCGGAAGTATAGTTGGTGCGGTAGGTACCATGTGAAACTGTCCAGAGGGGCCCTGAGCGGAAGGGTCCATGCTGTTTGGGGTTTAGAGCAGCGAGTAGCTTCTTCAGACCAGCTCTTCCCAAAGCCATAACTTCATGCTCCTCCCCCTCCCATTACTGATACTATAGGGCAGCGTTTTTCAACCGCTGTTCCGCTGCACACTAGTGTGCCGCGAGATGTTGCCTGGTGTGCTGTAGGTGCAGACAAGAATTTTATAATTTTTCACTATTTTGTTTACTTAATATTTCATAATAAAGTAATTATAAAATACTTCCTTTGTGTTTATTTGATTCCTATTCAAGAGAATTACTTTATATATAGTCAATATAGGCACAGAGTTAAATTTTTTAACATTTTCTAATGGTGGTGTGCCTCGTGATTTTTTTCATGAAACAAGTGTGCCTTTGCCCAAAAAAGGTTGAAAAACACTGCTATAGGGCATCCCTGTTGTGTGGGTGCCTGAGAAGAGCTCTCTGACCTATAAACCCTTCCCTGGTCCTGGTTTCTCCTCCTCTCTGTCTGCAAGTGCCCTTGGGGAAGGTGAGTTAGTTTGAAATAGAAATAAACATGATGTATTATATGTTTGCTTTTAGCTTAAAGATATATTCAAAGCTGTGATCCAGGCGATCATTGGCGGAGTGGTTAGGACAGCCGTTGAGAAAAGACCAGTGAGGTTGGAGACAGAAGTCAATGTCCCCACTGATGAGGTGAGTGTGACATGATTGGCTGGACTCTTGTGTCCTCTCCTAGTTTATTAGCAAAATCATCTCTTGCTTCTCAACACTCTGTTTCCTTTTCCTTAAGATCGCTGAAGAATTCCAGGCAGGAGATGGACTGATCCCAGAGGCAGAAGCACGGAAACTGGAAAAAGCCATTGAGGATATCCTCGTGGCCATGGGCTTGGGAGAGGACAGCAAGGGAGCACCTGCAATGAGGAAATAGCTGTTTGGACCCGCAGCCTGAGAATTTACAGCGTGGCCACCTGCTCACACCCAGGGTCTGGATGTGAGATAAGGACTGAATATTCAGATTCCCGACTCAAGTACCGGCTTTATTTCTCAGGAGCCCCTTTAAAATAACCACTAAAGTTGAGCCTTAAAAAAGCTCACCCCACCACCTTTGACGCTATAATGGGTCCTTACTATGTGCTCTCTCCCCTCCTGTTGGTTTGTGACCTGGGCTGGAGGGCAGCACCTTCCCCCAGCACTCTGTGGCTCCTCTCTTCCCCTCCCCCAATTATGAGACCTGTAACTAATAAATCTTTGACTTTACTTCTTTTGTGTGAGTTCATTCAAACCGCCTTCAATGAAAACCACACCACAGTTTTCATTTCTCCAAAGTGGGAGCTGGGGGGCTGTGGGAGCCACCTGCTGACCCGGGGGTAACATGGCTCCTCCTCCAGCAGTCATAATCCGCATGTCCCTAATTTAATGCATCAGCTAACAGGTGTGCCCACATGCAGCAGCTCTCTCTCCAAGGGGAAAGCAAAAGGAGCCTGCCATGACAAATGGGGAAACCCTACCATTTGTGACGACAAGGGTGGACTGTAAAGGCATTATGCCCCATGAAATAAGTCAGCAGAGCAAGTAAAATACTGTGTGATCTCTCTTCTGTCTGGGATCCGACAAACAATCCAAGAAACTTGGAGAATCAGAAGTCAGTCTTGTGGTTTCCAAGGTGGAGGTGGAAACAGGGAATAGGAGGACGGTGGTAAGAGGCAGGAATTCCAGGTGTTAGACACTCAGTGTGTGGGATGGAAGGTATAGCATGCTGACTGACCACCTCAGCTGTCAGGTGTAAAGGAAAGTCATTAAGGAGGTAAATCCTAAGAGATCTCATCACCGGACAAAACATTTCCCTTTTTTATTTTATTTTTTCATTTTTTTATCTACTTGAGAAGATAGATGGTAGCTGAATCTAATATGGTAATTATTCCACAGTATATGGACATCAAACCATCATGACCAATAGCTTAAATGTATGTAGTCACATGTGTCATTATTTCTCAATAAAATTGGAATAAAAAGTAACACATTTTTAATAACATGAAATTGTGTCCTTTCTAGGGTAGACTGTTGACCAATATACAGTTTACCCTTGGAGACTGAGAGCTTTTCCATTGGTTTTCTCAGTCAGTGTGGCTCTTGTTGGGCTGTTAGTGTAACTGGTGCCCTTGAAGGACGGATGTTCTGGAAAAGTAGAAACTTCCTTTCCTGAGTGAGCAGAGCCTGGCTGACACCCTCGGTCTCACGGCAGCGAGGGCTGCCACGGTGCCTGAGGGATGACGCCTTCCAGGGTGTGAAGGCCAGTGGAGGCCTGGACTCAGAGTTACGCTCTCCGTCCCCTGCATGGTAAGCAGAGCTGCTTACGTCCCCATTCCAGCTCTGCTTGGGAACTATAAACACGTTCAAACATTTTAGATTGTGGAATCTATGCACACTGTCAGAACTGCCATTAAAATGTCTTACCTTGTCCAGACTTCTGTTTCAGTAGCTACCATACAGCTGTCTTACTCCTATGTTATGTGGAGATACCCATCGTATTCTATCTCTCATTCAAATTTCTCCAGATGGATCATGTCTTATGACCAGGTGAACCCAGAGTGCCTCAGTGAATAGAAACCAGCTAATTCTTCAATTTCAGAAAAGCATTTCACCTCCTGAAATGTTTTATAGCCAATTTGACTTGGGAAGGGTCAAGCTGCAAACTGTCTGGAACTCCTATTTCACTTTAGGTTGGTTGGTGGTGGTAGTGGTGGTAATCAAGTGTCCTGCCCTTTACCTTGTAAGGATAAATCTTGAAAATACAGCCTTCGGTGTTCAATGAGGGTTCTCCCTCTGTGGGTAGAGATTCAAACCAGATTACCTGCAGGTTCTATAAAGAAGGTAAGATTTGTCTATCAGAACAATTGGGAAACCACTGTGACATAAAGCTAGATGGACTCATCGGTATGTAAAATTCAATGCTGAATGTTTTAAGTGTATGGATTTAACCTATTTGTAGATGCAATATTTGTGCCTTATGTTGCCATTTGACCATTACTTGAACGATATGTCCATGATTTTATGTGTTTCACAAATAGAATTGGCCCTCGAACAACATGGAGTTAGGAGTACCAACCACCTTTGCAGTAGAAAATGTGTGTATAATTTTTCTTCTTCCAAATCTATACTAAAAGCCTACTCATGATGGGAAGGAAGCCTTATTATAAATATGAACAGTCAGTTAACATACAGTCTATAAGTCACATGATTACAATACTGTATATTGTTACAATAAAGTAAGCTAGGGTAAAGGAGATTTTACGAAGAAAACGTAAAAAAGAGAAAAATACATTTACAGTGAAACTGAGAGCCAACAGCAAGCATGTTCAGGCGTTAGATCACAGAGTCCAGGGCACAGGCATGGGCTCTCACTGCACGCTTCATTTGCTGTGGTTGTCACATAGCTCACACACGAGGACTAAGAAAGCATGCCAGGCATGTTCTGAAGGCTGCTTGCCTATAATGCAAGTTCCAGGAGAAATGCTTCCAAGTACACTTTGCTTGTGATAATGGAAAAACTGAGCTAGCTACGTGCAAGACAATGGCACCTGGAATAATAACAAGGTCACAGATGTCCAGTTCCTGGGTTTCGCTTAAGGTCACGGCACTGATGCCCAGCTATGAGAAATGTTGCAGAATCGTGGTTCCGCAGCCCAGCAATTCCTGTTCTCAAACTCTAACTGTGAGCTGCTGATGTGCTTCTTTTTGTGAAGCAGGAGAGATAACCTCAGGGACTTGAAGGGAATTAGGTGTTTGACTGCGTGACTGTAAGGAAGTTCTGACCAGTTCTTGACACCCAGGAGCCTCGCTGCACAAAACGTTACCTGTAACTGAGAAGCACACTCCCCCTGGTTCCCTGAACTCCCTGCCCTGACCCCCTGGCTGAGGGAACACGCCCTGCCTTTGCTTGATAAGGAAAGATGACATTGGGAGATCTTTCTCTCTGCCCTCTCCCTTTGCCCGAATCAAATAAACCTTTCTCTACCTCCAGGCACCTGTGTCTCCTTGTTGCGCTTATTAGCACACTGGCACACGAACCTATATTTTGGTTGGTGATTTAGTAACAAGAGGAATTACTAGCATAGAAAAAATCTCACTATAAGGAGAACACACAGTCCAAATCCGTGTTGTTCCAGGGTCACCTGTATATTGAAATGGCTACACATCTGATTTGATATACCTTTGTCGGTGTTAAAAAAAAAAAAAAATGTCCAAACCCATAGAGAACTTTTACAAGAGTCTATTTGAGCCAAATGGGAGGCAACTGCCAGGGAACAAGATCTCAAGTGCTCCAGAGAATAACGGGCTTGCAGATTTGTATGCATTTGAGATAAAGGGGGAGATATAGGAAAATTACCGTATTTTTCGGACCATAAGACGCACTTTTTTTCCCCCAGAAGTGGGGGGGGGAAAGTCCCTGCATCTTATCGTCCAAATATAGCCTACACATATACTTTTTAAAAAAAGTTTTTTTACTTGCCTGGCTCTGTATGGTCTCTGTGTGCTTGCCCGGCTCTAAAATGGTTCTAAATGCTGCTGTTTACTTTACAGGGTTGATTACATGTGTTTATGACTGTGATGTTGGGTTTTAATGCACATAAAATATTTTAGGACACTATTTGTTTCAGAATCTTTTTTTCTTCATTTCCCTTCTCTAAAAACTGGTGCATCTTATGGTCCGGAGCGTCTTATGGTCAGAAAAATACGGTACATGGAGGTGGGAGAAGCAAGGTGGGCATACGATCATAGAGCAGTTACCATTTTGCGTTGCTTTGAGGGTGGTCAGTGTTGGAAAAAGGAGTCTGAAAGGGGGCATGTCAAAGGTCTGTCAACCTAGATGCACAAAACCCAGGCATCTTGATTGTGGCAAAGATAAGCCTTTTACTACTGAAGTCATGGGCCTGATGGGTGTCTACTCACCATGACCTTTCCAGGTAGGAATTTGTGCTCAGATCACCTTTGAGGTTACTTTCCATAGAACCCTTTTTTTGTCCCCATAAGTAAACGATTAAAGCTAACAAATGGGGAAACATAGGTTTTAGCCTCCTACTTTCACACAGACACCCTTCCGACCACCTGAAGGCTGGGTTCCGGGTTAGAATTCGGATTCCTCGGCATTAGATGCCACCTTCCTCTCCTCTTCCCAACCCTGGCAGCCTGCATGCGAGATTCTCACACCCACAGACACGCTGGGCCTCGTGTCTGCCTTCCAGCCACACACAGCACAGGTCACAGGGGTTGGGCAGGTTCGGGAAGACATTCAGAGGCATGCGCCAGAATTTAGGTAGCACCCTAGTCCCAATTCTCCACTTCCCTGGTGGTGTTACTGCAGTGAGGGCCTGACCATGGATGGACTTTTCCAAAGAAACAGATATCCTCCCCACTTCAGCGATAACCAGGAGCCAACCCAATGTCTTCCTCCTGCGCTCTCTGCACCAAAACCATTGGAGAGCACACACCCTTAGCTTGGTGGAAGCTGCCTCCCCAGACTCAGAGATCAACCAAAGGTCTTGTGTGCATGCATGTAAGCCTGACCAATGGACACAGACCACCAGGGGGTTAGGGCATGAGTGGGGAGGGGAAGAGGGGCAATGGGGCGATAAGGACACATATGTAATACCTTAATCAATAAAGAAAAATAGAAAATATATTTTTAAAATACTGCCTAAACTTTTCTTAGTTACTATCTAATAAAACATCTCTATACTTTTCAAAAAATAAAATAAAAAGACTCAGTAGTGCTGACACCCGCTCTGCTCCGCCATCTGGTGGTCACACATGAGAACATGCCAACCTGCAAAGTGGGGAGAGATGCCAGAGACTTTCTGGTGTAACTTCTGTATCAAAACCTGTTGTGTTTAGATTCCCCCAGGCTCGTGGTGAGCAGGGTGAGGGATCATCCTGCGGAAGCGGGTAGAAAGCCGCAGCCTCAGGGGAGCTGTATGAGCTTGGCTGTGTGAGCTTGCTCAGAAGTCAGTGGGGGAAGTAGCAGTGGCTCAGCTGGAAGAGATCAGCAGGACATCAGTGTCTCCCAGGATTTAGAGCTGGAAGCAATGGTCCTGTCAGGTCTAAGGTCACCCTGAGATGGAAAGACAGGTGTTTGCCTGTGAACCACTCTTGCCTGGGTCACCTCTAAGTCAAGTCATTGATACAACTCTTTTGTTTAAAAATATATTTGTTATTGATTTCAGAGAGGAAGGGAGAGGGAGAGAGAGAAACAATGATCA